CACGAACGAGTAGAAAAAAAAAAATTGAATATCTCCGTCTCTCGATATCCCCGCGCTGCTGTCATTCAAACCATTGTAGAGGCGCGTGTCATGATGCGATTCACATTGGAAATTTGCATCATATTGAAACGCTGCTGCTGGTGCTGCTGCACACAAGAGCAGGACGTGGCGTCATAAAAAAGATTCTTCTGTGCCGCGGCAAATGATGAATCGGCGTCGTCGTCGACACAACGACGACGGCGACCGTTTGACATTATCCTCATCCGTGGGGCGTATTAAATATTTAAAATTAAAAAAAAGACGTGAAAACGGTTTCCTTCCCTCCATCCACCGTCTGGATCGCGTATTATTGTGCGTGGATATTATTTGACAGGTCTGAAAGTCTTTCTCTCTCTCTCTCTCTCTCTCCCTAAAAAAACCGCAAAAGGCAACTAAGTCGCCATCACTACAGCAGACGCCCTGTCGCCGACGCCACTGTCAGATCGCGGTCTCGTTTCGCGATTTTCCTGCACCACACAGCGGTGGTCCGTTAAAATATATTACATTATTATAAATCCGCGTTATAATAATACGCATTTAACCTTGTGTAAGTTACACATATAATATATTTACTTTAAAAGTAAAAAAAAAAATGAAAATAAAAAGTTTCTTCCACCAAAAAAAAAAAAAAACACCCGTCAGCAGCAGAGCACCGTCACTTGAACCAAATTTTCTCCCGCCTATTTTGTATATGAAACAGAAATATTCTTTGTAAAACAATAAATCACCGAATATTATTATAATAATAATGCAACACTGTATAATTCCATATCCTATTTCCAAAACAATTGATCATACAAATTGTATGACGGAAGGGGATGGGGTAAAGTTGATTTTCAAAAAATTTCACCCCCTGGATTCACCTCCCTTTCACTCTTCCGGGGAGTCTACAAAACTAAAACTATACCCCCCCCCACCCGTAACAATAATACGGTTAGATTCACTACATTAAAATTCGACCAGATTCTTATCATTTCAATCCGCCCGCAAAACAGCTCTAATTCCCGAGTTTGAGCTCATATCGTTCAGAGGGAACCGCCAGACATGTTCAAAAGTAACGGGGCACAACAGACACAATACAGAACGAAATCTCGTTCAAAACACGTGTAAGCGAGTATACATGCCCGACGTAATTGAATCGATTCCACGGAATATTCGCGAATAATTGCCATAACAATTCCACGCCTAAATATATTTCGTGAATACTTGGGAAAAAAAAACACATAATAATAATAACACGTCATTGTGGACTGCTGTCTGCAGCCGCAGTTACTATAAATTATCGTAAAATGGAACAAAAATTGGAGACAATTACATGCAATAGTACCGGCGACGGAGACGATGTACCTGCAATTATTATTAGACTCAATGACCCGGGTATAATTATTTATAAGTGTGACGTATACTCTAAACAGATACGAAAAAAAAAACGTAGATATAAGTGCATAGTTGTTCTCTTATCGATTGAATTTGTCACGCGCTACGCGTTATTTTTCTTTTTTAATTTTTCATTGTGTCGATTCGCTCGCAATATAAACGCCCAGGTACATATTATTATACCCATCCCTTTCGTCTTTGACGTTTATCTCAATTTTTATTTGTTTTTTTTTTACATTGACCACCGTCGTTTATATCGCGACGCCGTTTATCTCAATTTTTATTTGTTTGTTTTTTTTTTTTTTTTACATCGACTACCGTCATTTATATCGCGACCGATGCCGCAGCATCAGATCACGATTACAATTTTATTATTATGTCCCCGGTCAAAACTGCTATTACAATGCTATTACAATAAATGGTCTTTGTCGCATTGTTCTGATATTATTATTACAGCGTTTTTCTTCTTTTTTTTTTGTAATTTATAAAAAATAAAAAATGTAGGTGAATACCTGATATATATATATCTTATAAAATCTGTATCGTATACAAAAAAAAAAAAAAAAAAACAAAATAATAATAATAAATAAATAACAAACTGCGCCTACTTATTGTCGCGACCATTTGTACCTATATATTTATATAATATAGGTAACCATACCTATCCAGCATACAACATAGGCACTGCAGACTGCTACAACAATATTGCGGGTTAAAACCGAAGATATTTTTTATTTTTTTCCCTCGATCGATTATTGTGTTATTCCTATAAAATATAATGTAATGCGCGCATAACCCTATAATTTGGACACGCGGACGCGATTATTATATTAGGATCTATATACTTGCCCGGGGCCGCGGGGCCGTTGAAACAAAACTATATAGGTATATTATATAATATAATAATAAAAAAATCATATTTAGATTAAAAAATAAAATAAAAAATAATAGCAATAATATTACATTTAGGTCGTAATGTTTGTACGGGTCGTTAAATTTTACTGGAACATTATTGGACACACATTATAGACACACTACCTATATAGCTGTGGCGCTCGTTTATAGTATGGCATCAGGTACTGTACATAATTATCCATACCCAACTATATTCTGGTAATTCGCTGACGATGTATTACGGCAGTTTAGTCTGTTATACAAACTATGTACCTGTATTATATACGATAAAAAAATAATATAACTACGGTTTTACGCGACCGCGTAGTATCATAACAACAAACGCGTTGAGCAGATTTGCAGATTTAACTAATTAATTGATTGGTATACACACACACTCACACACGTACACCGATAGCGGATCCGGAGGGTGATAGTAACAATCGTCCCCCTCCCCCACAAACAACTCTTCAATATCTCTCAGGCTCCTAATTATACGAGTTATAACTCACAAACTTGACTATAAACCTGCGGATTCAACATTGAGCTCGTTATTAAAATGTGTACCTGTATACATTTTCAAAGTTTCCCCTCCCCTCAAGACCGTTATTTTTTTCTGAATCAGTCACTGATAAACACTATATTATGGTAGTATAAATAATGACCGAAATTAGTTATTATATAAGCCGAGACGATGTGGTACGATGCTCTACGATAAATTTATGCTAGAATGCTAGAGTGCTAGAATCATATATAAAAATTAGGCCATCAGGACTTTGCATCAACACTCTCGACACATTATCAAATAAAAAAAACGATAAGCCACTGATGTACGTGAGAGAAATTAGGAAGTCGAATTTCCCGGTTTTCAATCAAGTTTCCTTATTTTAAAAATGTTAGAAACGTAGTTATTAATAAAAAAAATATAACGACCTTTTTTTCCCTGATAACAATATTTCTATCAGCAATTTTGCTCCGAATTACAATGACAGTATTTTTTTTCTGAAAAGATATATGACTTGAATGGTACTTTAGGGAGGTAATTTTATGATTTTTTCAGGAGTTTTCCCTATAAATGAGAAAGACATTGAAAAAACCGAAAAATAAATTCAATATTAAACAAATATTATTAAAGAAAATATATAATGCATATTATGTTACTATTTTACCATAATGTGACATATTTGTTGTTGATAGAAAAATATTATTAATTGAACTCAGCTCAGAATATTTTTTCGTTAACAATGGTTAAGTAATCGTTGCTTACAGATATACTTTAAATTTCACATCTATCTTCTAAACTTTTCACGTACAACAGTGGCCCACCCACGTGAGAGGTATGTCCGTATATTATTAATATGATTGTACACAATTTAAATAATTATTTTGCATATAACTAAATTTCTTGAAGGATATAAACCCAAAATTTTAATAAAAAAAAAAAATTGAACAAAAATCTTAGAATTACACATTGACTTTGTTCTGAATAGATGAATCTGTGTTAACACCAAAGTTATTGGTAAATGTTAGCATAATGATTAGATTTTTATTATTTTTAAACATACAATCGTGTATGTCGACGTGTATAACGATTTTGGTGAATGTTGGTAACGCCGATATTGTTTTCGGATAGGCGACAATAATAGTACAATTATTATTAATCCAGATTTTAGATGGAAAAACTGTCCGTATTCGAGTTCCAGGTGTTGATTGTAGTAAAATGGATTTTTGAAATACTTTAGTCGTAGTGTTAGATATAATAGACAATGAATTCATGTATATTAGCTACCAAAAATGGCGTTATAAATAAATTATTCACAATAAATCAATTTTCGGTACTTATGCAAAGAAAATTTAATATCAATCACTGATGGACTAAGGGATTAACAAATTTCTTTAATCCGCGATGAGTCGCATCATTATTTGTAACACGTGTGGTCATACAAGGTCTTTTTGACCGTTTAATTATATATCATATTTATTTAACATTCTAGAAACAAATATATTTATTAATGATTTGCAAAAATTATACGTCATTTGTTTAATATATTTCACAATAAAATTTGGTATTAATGGATCAATCATGCTAAATATTAAAGAGAAAATATTTTATCAAATTATATTTGAATGAAAGAATATCTTTGAATTTATGATACATAAATCTAACGATATATAGTAGTATAAAAAGGTTCCTTAAACGACAGGTACAGGTGCTGGTGCTGGTGCAGACTGGTGAAAACCTAACCGAAAAAAATCTGTAGTTAAAAGTATATGTCTGAACGGGGTGATTAGCAGGATGACTATGCGTTGGGTCGGATCAAACCCTACTTGTAGAAACTTGCGTGATGGAAAATCGATAGTGAATAAAGAACATTCGGTAAGATCCGGAGGTGATGCCGGTGCGACGTACTTAAATAATTGATTCTTGCTAGCAGTTAAATTTGTTTCGATTGAAGGGGCCATATTTAAACACTTATGCAAAATTTTCAAACACTTAGTAAAAATGTATAGTCTGAGCGCTGAAAGACTAGCTGCTACGATTGTGGTCCGAATAATGGTTTCGTTTGACGAAATATAATATATAATATAATATTTTAATTTATACGTAAGCCGTTGCGGTAGGTATGGGTAGAAGAACGCGCGGAGACAATAATATTTATAATAATGGCTTATGAGCAGGTACTAGTAGTCTACATAGGAATGGTAGAGTCGATTTCGGTAAAGCCGGGCGTGTTCACTAGCTCCATCCTTGCTTTCTTCACTCTAGCAGCGGTATCTTCTCTGAGTGCACGTTTCCTTCCTAAAGGAAACAGAAAGAAAAAAAAACCTAAATTAAAACTATTTCCCTAGCTAATTCCTATCTGGTGGGTCATAATAAAAGAAATCTTACCTTCGTTTTCGAATCCCTCCATATCATCGATGGCTTGACATACGACTGCCAACAACGCGTCATTTTCGTCGTCGGTAATCCAAGTCTGAGTTGACGAACCGGGGGTAATACACAATGGTCCGGCCTGCGGAGCAATAGTCGGCGAGGCGACTCTTCCGTCCCGGTGGGCAATTTTAACGTGTTCTTCAAAATTGTATTTACGTGAAAACGACTTATGGCAAAGAGCGCATTTAATTTTTACGCCGTCGTGCGATTTAGCGTGGCGGGTCATACTACGTTTAACGTTAAATACTTTCTCACACCCGATGAATGTGCATTTGAACGTATTCATTTTTATACACGGAGAATAAAAATAAACGAAATGAAATTAACACTTAGAAAACTTGAAAAATAAACGAGAGCGGAGAGAAAACTGAAGACTTGAGTACGGGTTTGTAGAAAAATCACTACTGACGATCGATCGTTCGGGGATGTCTGTGACCACAAATATTAATTATCGTTTATGAATAGCAATCAGCTGCGTGTGCGCGTGTGTGTGTGTGTGTGTGTATGTGTGTTTTATAATATATAATATAATATAATATAATATTTTAATTTATAAGTAAGCCGTAACGGTAGGTATGGGTAGAAGAATGCGCGCGCGCGCTCGGATATAAAGATAAATAGTCATCATATTCCCGATAATTCACTAACAGTCTAAATGTTCGTAGCAGGTAATTTCGTGTTGTAATATGATAACCGTGATAACTGTAGGTACGTTATAAGATAACAATAGGTATAACAACGTGGTAATAATGTCGCTGATAAGAAAGTGATAATGTCGCTCAGAATTAAGTAAGTGGGCGTGGCCTAATTGCTCGATGAAGAGGTGGACAATTCGGGTGGCCGTGTAACACTGTACCAGCACCACCCTGCTCCAGCACCACCTTGCACCAGCACCAGTCTGCACCAGCACCTGCGTCTGCCGTTGAAGGAACCTTTTTATACTACTATATATATTGCAACCTTCAATGATTTAAATTAATTTAAGAGGTAAGTGACTGGATAAATTGTTTTTGACGCTTTATCCTTTTAAAGTCGGACGCCGACGAAAATGATACATAACAAAATTGATACACAGTGCAATCTATCATAGTGATTTTGACAGGTTAAAGATTTTAAAAATAGCTATGACAAGACACATTCGTCCCACATTCTTATGAATAGAAGGGTTACTTTTCTCCATTTTAAAAAATCTTTATGTGAAAACCATTCGGCTGTTTACATAAAATTGTTGAATAATTCTTGTTGTTCATTGGTTAACAATTTTGGATCTAAAGTCAATTGTGGCGTCTCAGATGTGAATTCTTCTTCGAAGTTTCCTACATCTTCTAGCGAATTCTAATTTTTTATTTTAATTTTTTTTTATGTAAGTATAATTTATGATGTAGAACTATCATAGGTTTCAAAACAGATATATTTAAGATGCTTACAACGGTCGGTACGAATGGAGGTTTAACCTTTCTTCTTAGTAAATCCTCCCAAACAACTTCTCCAAAAAATTCTTGTAGTTTTACGTCTTCTCCATCTCTTTCGTTTGAACCTAACCTTTTTTCAGGATTTTTGCATAAAAGCTATATCCACAAAAACAACAAAAAATTTCAAATTAGTATATAGTTTCCTCTAATATAAATTTAAAAAAAAAACATACTTTGCTCATAATTGAAATCGCTTCAGAAGATAGCATACTAGGATATGGAATTTGATCGTTAACTATGCAGTGAAACAAGCTTTGTAGATCATTGGCGTCTTCGAAGGGGCACTATGTGTGATAAAAATTTATATTAGTTACGGTGTTATATTACACATTAATATCCAAAATATATTTACCTCTCCCACAAGCATTTCATATATCACTATACCAAAAGACCACCAATCTACACTACGCGTGTACGACGTTTCGGTAATAATTTCAGGAGCTAAATATTTGGCTGTTCCACAAAATGTTGCGGTCCGATCGCCAAAACCCACACCTTTTTTGCATGTACCGAAATCCGTTATTTTAACATAGCCATCAGTATCCAACAGTAAGTTACCTAATTTTAAATCACTAACAAATAATGAACGCTTAATTTTAATAACAACGTCAAAAATTATAAACACTAAATTAACATTGTACAAACCGATAAATGATACTGTTTCCGTGTAAATATTGTAGGCCCAAAAGTATACAAGCGGCATAGAAAATTGTTCTTGGCTCTTCAAACACCCCGTTATTTAGGTGCGTATACAAATCACCTCCAGCCGCATACTCCATAACGAAACAAACATGAGCCTGTAAACAATAAACCGAACAATTTTAAAATACAAATAAATAATAAAATTTTAGTATACTTACGTCTGTCTGGAAACAGGCGAATAAATGCACTAAGAATGGGTGATGGATATTATTAATAACTTCGAATATACTTTTTTCAGAGTGTAATGCCTCCACTCCGTTTTCAGAAATTATATTAGATTTGTTAAGCGTTTTAATGGCGAAATACTCATCTGATTTTGTGTATTGACACAATGTTACCTATAATAAGAATGGAAAGTAAATGAAACACAAATTACTTACTTGCATTCTAATTGTTTCTAATGATAATTATTACTTTTCCAAAACTGCCTTTTCCTAATACACTCAGAAGTCTAAAATCTTCAATGGATATATTCGACATTTTATCATCCACCTTAGAACTTAGTAAATCGTTATCTTCCTCATCTTCAGCTAGAACCCGGCACTCTACAACTAAACTTTCTTCCAAATGTGATTTGGACCTTACTAAAATAGTTATACCATAAAAATTATAAATACCTATTTAAATTCCTAATTTTTGTTTCAAATCATATTAATTAATTCTTTGAAGTTAAAAAAAGTTTGATCAGTAAAAACAAATGTGCTGTTTAATTTAATTTGTAATTTTCAAGACAACGATTTTAATGAAATTGGAATTTATTCAAGGCGAATTTTTTTTTAATGAGAATTTAACATTTGAATTAGGAGTGAATTATAATTTTAAGATGAATGTTATAAATATATATTATATATAATTGGGAATAATTTTTATTTTATAATACTTGAAATCCCAATTATAATATAAGACCTAAATATAATNACAATTTTAAAATACAAATAAATAATAAAATTTTAGTATACTTACGTCTGTCTGGAAACAGGCGAATAAATTCACTAAGAATGGGTGATGGATATTATTAACAACTTCGAATATATTTTTTTCAGAGTCTAATAACTCCACTCCGTTTTCAGCAATTATATTGGATTTTTTAAGCGTTTTAATGGCAAAGTACTCATCGGATTTTGTGTATTGACACAATGTTACCTATAATAAGAATGGAAAGTAAATGAAACACAAATTACTTACTTGCATTCTAATTGTTTCTAATTATAATTATTACTTTTCCAAAACTGCCTTTTCCTAATACACTCAGAAGTCTAAAATCTTCAATGGATATATTCGACATTTTATCATCCACCGTAGAACTTAGTAAATCGTTATCTTCCTCAACTTCAGCTAGAATCCGGCACTCTACAACTAAACGTTCTTCCAAATTTGTTTCCAAATGTGATTTGGACTTTACTAAAATAGTAATACCATACAAATTATAAAGACCTGTTTAAATTCCTAATTTTTGTTTCATATCATATCAAGACAACGATTTTTATGAAATTGAAATCTATTCAATGCGATTTTTTTTTTAATGAAAATTTAACATTTGAACTAGGAGTAAATTATAATTTTAAGATGAATGTAATAAATATATATTATGTATAATTGGGAATTATTTTTATTATATAATACTTGAAATCCTAATAATAATATAAAACCTAAATATTATATGTTATTAATTACTTGAATTGCTGGGACAATCATTAGGACGATCCTCCGATCCATTAGCGGGAGAGCTTGAGTGCCTAACCTGAAAATAATGTATCATAATTTAATCATACTTATATTTCTTATTGTATTAATACAAACAACAAAAACAAAATAAATTCTATTAAAAACAGTTGTTGCACACTTACTTTCTTAGGAATGCAGCATGTCATCATATTTTTGAGAAAACGAAAACCTTTAGATAAGGAGTAGATTATCCCAGTCATACTTCAAATGATGTGTATCCCTTTTTGTTTGAAAAATACGAATAAGTTTAGAAATTAGCTTTAATTCGCAGTGGTGAACTTTATAACTTATTTAATGATGTTTTTAAATTAATATTATTTTTCCAAAAACAGTAGGAAACATTAAAAATAAACATTGAATTGAATACCTAGCTGCAGAAATATTTTAATAGAAAATCATTATTATAATAATAAATAATATTTAAATTTTTAATCGTGATAAAATACTGTTTTGTGAACCTATATTTTCATATTATCTTTGATTTTTTTTTTTTTTTGTTATCTCTTACATAAAAATTCCTCAAAGTTTCTTCGGTTTTTATTTTTTGCTATTACAAATCTAGATTCTGAGCGAAGCAAGGAGTTAATTGGAATTACAATGATGTTTATTTTCTGTGTTATTGCTCCAATGTATCAAGTATAGCACTTTGTCTTAGATTAAATTTTATCTAGTCAGTACATTAATAAGGTCATTTTTTGGTTTTCTAAATAGTTTTCTTAATCATTGAGATCGGTTCATCTAAAATAAGACATAAGTATTTTTTTTTTTTACAAAAAAATAATTGTTTGATTATTTATAGTAAACTCTGAATAACTTTCATTATATATAATAGAAATATTAGAATAATAGTTTTGCACTATACTTTCAATTTTCCACCCATATCATAGCTCAAAATAACCTTTCACGTGTTGCGATAATTGCTTGAATTTTTTTGAATATCTTATATAACAGACAATATAGCAAAAGACGAAAAAACTAAAAGACCTTTAAAATTGGTTACAAAAATCAAAAACATCTATTAAAAAATTCGTCAATAACTACATTTTGTTGATAACACTCACCAGTGTGAATTATTTAAAAGTGTACAGATCTTAAAGAAAAAAAATGTAAATTTCGAACAATAAACTTTTGATAATGCATTGAATATTTATAGAGATGTAAAAAATAGGCTATCCCTATAATAATTCCATTCATACAATTATTGTGTTATAGGTGTTTTATCTTTAAAAGTCTGTGCATTTGTTTTTTTTTTTTTTTATGTGAATTTATGTTTGCTATAAATACTGCCCATTAGTTTAGAAAAAACGGCAAATCCGCAAATATCACTATAGCAGCCTCTTAACTTAACTTTTAACCTTTGTAGCTATTTTATTTTATAATTGAACTTTCTTCTGTCTAAACTAATTTAATAAATAACAAATTGATTTTGAATCATATTCACGTTAAGTTAATTTCGAATATCGTTTAAATTGATCACAAAATCTATGTGAAATTCTTAGTTCAAAATAATAAATATAATTTGATATTCCCGAAATAAACCACATGTATTTAACATTGGCCATGCTTATTTTCAAAAAATCATAATATTCAACAAGGCGATAACTTCAGTTAATTCATAAATTCGTTCACTTTTGTTCAATCAGCTTATCTTAACTGAGTTAATTGTATTTATTAATTTGTCATTTGTATAGTCATTAGTCGACGGTGAAAGGTCAGGCCGTATGCCTAAGCTTAGCAGATTAAGAGGAGCGTGGAGAGATCTAAATTGTGCAATTTCTCTACGAATATTGTAAATACAATTATTTTAGGAAGCAACTGTGAAGCCTGCATGTAAATTCAACAGAATATCACTATGCCTGCTCAAGGTTTTGCGATTTTTCTATGTAATATAATCAAATATGGCTTTTATTCTAATATACCTACCTACAAATACAATATTCATTTGCATAAAATCATCGTAAAATTATTTTCCAGAAATTTATAGCTTTATTATACGCATTATTATTACGAGTATAATTAAATAGTGCTCAAATTGAAAATATATATATGGACATCAGTGGACAAATAGTATCCCCTTTAATTTTTTTCACGAATTAGGAATAGATAAGGTAACGACCTTTAATTTAACTAACCAAAGGACGATTTCGTTGGAAATTTAGGTGGCTTCCATCACCTACGAGTAGATAGTTTTGTTATTATAGAAAATTAATTACTTTTTTATGTATAAGTAAGTAAAGTCACTTTGTATTCATGGGTCTCTATAATAGCTGTAACATTCAGGAACGTTAAGGAACGACGGTTTCTTAACAAGTAACCAGCGTCCATCACTATTCCCCCCCCTCCCTTAATTCGAGCACTGAGTATTTATAATACCGTTAAGTATAGAGAATATTATATAGGTACCCACCGAATTAACACCGTCTGGTATACTCGTATAGCTGGTTATAATACGCGCAGTCTCCGAATCTCCATAATATTCTATTGATCGAAGAAACCCTACACAGTAAAAAAATAATTATCACGTTTGATGATTAATATAATAATATTATAAATAACTATATACAACGACTGTATAATGTCTCAAATTTTAATACAAAACTCTATAAAAAGCCGACGGGGACTTATATATGTTGCCATAACACATAATATCTATACAATTTATACGAAGGAAAACAAAATAATACTATAGGTATATATGGTATTATAATATTTTAAGTACCTACCCATAATATGTTATAATAACTTATCTAAACAAATTTAACTATTTAGCTGCCTGACAACCACAAAAAAATATGTCACAATATTGCGTTTCTAGCGAACTTGTAATTTTAGTTACACAGTTATAGGATTTGTAATTTTATACCGTAGCGCGTTTTTCGAAAAATTAAAATTGTAAATATCATTAGGCGTACGGGTTTTGTTTTATGATTTCAAATTTCTAAATAAATATGACTATATAATATGTAGTGAAAACTAGTGTAATCGGTTATTAGCTCGGTATTATTAAATGAAAAAAAAAAATGTTTAAATTCGATAGAATTAATAAATTCTATTATATTATATTAGAATAAATTCTATTATAGAAAAAAACAACAAGGTTGAGTATAAACTAGTTAAAAACTTAATATACCTAGTTAAATTAACTTTTAACTTAGCTTTTAATCTTGGATTTTTTTTACTAACTTCACTAGTTTTGGTTTTACATTATCATATTAAAATAGCGGGTTAAATTTTGAATTCCAACAGATTTTTTTTTTTTATCAAATTTCCGGATTATTTACTTGATTACAACGGGAAAAAAACACGTGCAATCGTTATTTGATTACAATGATTAATCATTGCTTTCGGTACACCATACATGCAATACCCTATATAATACGTCCTATACCTTTCACACTTACCATCTATTACAATACCGACGTGATAGCCGTGGAGCCCGGAGAATGCGTCCGGATTTTTTTTATAAATTTAATAAATGCCGCACAGTCTTACGCGGCGGATAAGCTACAAAAGGTCTGTACACACATTGCGGGCTTTACTTTTAAAATATAATTCAAACACATTATTACGTGGCCAAAGCTAATTTTTCGCAATAAGCCGTCGACCACGGTCGCGCATTAGATTCGGCAGAGCAGCTGTTCCAATTACAAATCCGGAAAACGTGCGATTGCCGCATAAAACGCGCAGCCCATCCATCTACGTACAATATTACATTTTCAATAAAAAAAAAAATGTATACATATATATACACACACACACACACATAGGTATACTTACGTATACACGTATAAAAACCTTTTAGTTATGGCTCGTGTTCGTCCAAAGGCCCGAGACGAATTTTCGGTATAATCGCGTAAAACATCTGGTCTATTATATAAATAATTTAACGCCGTTTATCAGAAATAATACTGCACATATTATTATTATTGTTATCATAGAAAGAGGGCTGGAAACGAATGACGGAAAACTTGTGCTAAAACACACAAACATAAAACTAGCTCGCACGGATATATTATATTATACCAGATCAGATTAATCGGTTGATCTAAACAATCGTTTGCCATATCAACGCCACCGTACGTGTCAATTAAAACACATCAAATAAGTTTAGGGGGGCGTAGCGCATTTTTTTTTTTTTTTTAACGGTTCAGATTTCGGAACCGTATCGGATATAATATGGGGGGAAAAAGACGATTATTGCGTGTTACACATTATCGGATTTACAAAACCATACAATATAATATATTGGTCGCCGAAAACGCATCAAAATTTGAACAAACAATTTATTTAAAGATTAGTCGTACCTATATAGATGTTGACATGGTTATTAGTTTAACGTTTATCGGGAAAAATTGCACATTAAACATTGGGTTCGTGTTAATAGGATAAACCGGAACGAGACGTAAAGGTGCAAACAAATTAACTGAAAGCCAATAGAAACACACGTATGAATCATACGTACGAGTATATTCTATAATAGATTCGCTATTGTTTTACGTCACGAATCGAAAATGTTAAATATAATAGTATGGATCTATATTTTCAGTAAAAATATCACGTTTACGATTATTTTTCAATGAATTACAAAAAAATTTAAATTAACAGAAACCGGTATTGCCTTAATACTCTCGGTTTTCCTCGTTATGAAGAAAATTACACGGGCAATCGAAAAATGAGTAAAACACCGCCTGAACAAATAGTTTGCAACCAGAAACCAACTCCGATGGTTGATGAGTGAAACGAGTCTTCTGGTCGGTAACTGTGTTCACGCATTTTAGCAGCTCTGTAATAGAACTAATTTTTCAACTATGTTTTTAAAACAAGTATAAAATATTTGATCAACGTTGTTATTTAAGTTTTGTATACAATAATTTATTGTACTTATTTAAATACCTATTATAAGTATACCTACCATAAATTCTAAAAGTATTCTTTAAATGTATAAAAATCTATTAAAAATACTATACAATCTTGAATCAAATTTTCACTGTATAATATAAATTTAATCCCTATTTTCAAACTTTTATAAATTCAGTATACGGCATTATTACATTAAGTATAGATTTATTTTTATTATTAATTTATGATTGCGTTCAAAAGTTTCATGTCGATTAATGTTTCGCGAAAAGCCAACGGCATTATCACA